ATTTTTTTCACTATAGTTATAATTTTACAAAGAAACATTCGAATTTATACTACATTGTTTTTACAAGTTATTTTATTGTAACAATATGAATTTTTATTAAGTTTAATTTATTACTAATTAATAATGGAAATAAGAATAAATTAAAACCTGTAAAGGGCCCAAAACGTTGGTTTGTTTGAAAAAAAAAAACAAATATACGCGATTTAAATCCGGAAAAATAGTTTAATTTCCTATTTAAAATTATTCTTTTTATTGCGCAATTAAGAAACCACGCCATTTTCTTTCAATCCTTTGAAAGTTAATTTGACAACGATTGTCAAATTCTGTATACGTTTCACACGTTTAAAATAAATTACCTTCTCTTTGCTTCGCTGTGGTCACGTTGGCACTTAAAAATAATCAATTTTTTTTATTGAACACACCTTCTCCAACTGGAGATATCCCTGTACAATGAGTACCTGTGTACTCCGAACACCCGGACCAGTTAATTTAGATAAGTTCTCGTAATAAATTGGTCTTACCGAGAATCGTACCCGGTATCATCTCATCTAGCGCCCAGAGTGCTAACTGAAGCATCGGCAAAAAAAATAATTTTAGATAAATGATTTAGTAGGTTTCATAACATTGTTTTCCTTTCACGAAAGAGAATTTCTATTAAGAGTCTATACTCAGCTCGAATTTAAAAAAATTCCCGTTATACGGTTCATTCTGCTTGGGTCGACAAGCAGAGACACTGGCTTTATTTCAGAATTTGAAAAATGTATATCGTATACTATACATGTTCTATTTAATTCAGTTGATATAAAAAAAATCATAGGTATCATTGACTTACAATTATATGGACGTCGGGTCCGCGCTAAAAAGTGTCCGAACTTACAGGGCGTTAAAATCGTATACAGAGCATCATTCACGCTTTAGTCTTCGTTTGTTCGACTGACAGCGAAGCAAGCAAAATTAGACAGTACTGCGATGACATTACAATTTAAATTCAACGTTTTAGCTTTTTCATATTCCTTTACATGTCACTACGTTTAAATAGGTTGACTAGGGACATTTTTTTCGTGGTTTTTGTATTAGACCCGTCGTCCATTTATTTGTAAGTCAATGATAGGTATATGTAAAATACCTATTGAATTCAAGGTGTTTTTTTTTCTGATAATGTTTAGGAATCGTGTTTTCACCCCGTATAGCAATCAGTGTATATACTCAATTATACTATATATTTTTTCCAAAGTGACTGTTTTAACACTTTCACTGTTACACGTAATAAACCAAAGCCATTCGAGGTAGTATTGACTCTTAAAATGGATGTAATTTAGAACTTAGTCATTATGTACATTCGAATCAACTGAGATTTTTTCTCTCACTGGGTCACCACCTCTTTATTTTCAGTTATTTTATATAATTTTTTTTTCTTAAACATGCTCGGAAATGTTTACATTACTTTAATGGTGGCACCTGCACATGGGTATTTGTATACGCTATTGGGCATTTGTTGTACATACTTGGAAGAATATATGACGTCCGGACAAACATGCAGACATTGACCATATAACACGATTCCCACGTGCGTCCCTAAAGTTTTCCGCGTATTACCAAAAGATTGTACTAAACAGCGCGCATACCCCATCACTTAAAAAAACAACATACTCGTAATATTCACTATTAAACGCGTAATAACTTGTCCCGATGCATCTCAATCAATCAGCGCGAGATAAGCCGGCAGATTTGCGGGTTCTATTTCATTAATGAAATCTACGCGCTTCCATCAAAATAAAAACACAAAAATCCGCTTTGTAACATCTAAAGAAATGGCGGCCGAGAAGCCGGAATTAATCGGCTTCTAGTCGAATAACGTTCATGTAAATTTAAACCTTATTCCAACAAATTGCTGTTTGTTTTAATGTCAAAATGAACTTTCTTAAAATAATGTAAGAATATTATTATAATAGCAAATTTATACAAAACAAGGTTAATTTGTATTTGGTAAATCTTAACAATAAATAGTGTTACGTATGTATCTATATCTATTTGGGTGTTTCTTTTAATAGGACTACGTAAAGAATGTATGTAGAAGGTCGCGGCAACGCGTGTTTGGTGTTTGCTGTAACAGGCATATACCTTGTCACACATGCTATCTACAAATGGTGATTGTTTGACAAATAGATCAAATAAAAATAGCCACGTGAAGTGACACCATTAAAAAAAAACTGGCACAACTGGCATTTGAATGGACCGCGGAGATTGGGGATCTCCGTACCGCCAGTACCATGGCGCCGCAGGCGTCACACCCGGAGGGAGGAGAGAAGGCTCCACAGCGGCCTGGAGGTCGCGATAGAGCGGGCCAAGGACTGCGAAAGAGGAGCTCCGTCCGAAACAATTACTGCCAAGTAAGCAATACTTGACCAAATAAAAAGACGCTTGATGCGAATGAAGCTTTATACTTGACAATTGTCTTTTAATTTTATCGAATATTTGACAGTAATTGTTTCGGACGGAGATCGAGAGTAGACCCCCTGATACAACAAACGCACTAACGCGGGAAAATAATACGGCGCCACCGTCTATGCGGAAAAAATACGGAACTAAAACTGAGCGTACTTACTGCCTGTTTGAGTTTGTTCACTCGAATAAATAAAAAAATTAGGTACGTTTTATACCATAGGGATTAAAATGGTGCACTTTACTCCCGCCACGTAAGGCTATATTGACGCGCTTTTAGAGTATGAGAAGTGAAAAAAAAAAGTCTATGGTATTATTTATTTTGCGTTTAATTGTAATGCACGAATACACCTGCAATGTATATTTCAAAAAATGGCGGAAAATTAAACGAAAGTGCTCTGAAGTTTTTTTCTGTTATTTCTATTGTTTATTTTACATTTTTATAATTTATTCGCGGAAAGAGCGAGAATACAATAATGGACTGTACTCGGCCTAATATAAAACAAGAAACAAAAGATGTCATGGAAATCTTGGTTTACTTTTTCTGCTATACATTCTTCTCTTTATGACACTAATTAGCGCGACGAAGAAATCGTGCTCCTGATGGTAAGCTTACACGCCTGTCCATAACAATTGCAGTGCCACTCAGAGCTTTAAATCGCAAAGATCCGAGGGGCACTGCCACTGCGCCCGTCACCCTGAGACATAAGTTCACAAGTCCCATGTGCCTGTAATTTCACCAGCCCCCAACACCAAAACCAACAAAAACATTCTCCTTCATTCTTTAATCTTTCATGTTTCCTCGCATTGTTTGAGAAAAGCACTATACAGGGTGAAAATTAATTAGACATGAAAGGGATCTCAAACGCTAAAAAAATGCCAGAATGAACACTCCCTATTTCATTATACTAAATAGAATAGAATCAATGATAAGGATGAAATCTATCCAATAAACATTGAGCCTCACAATTAAAGACGTCAAATAAAATAGTGTCCTCTTTTGTCATTTTTAGTTTGCTCGATTCCCAGCTCAGGAAAATTTTTCAAAAAGAATTGTGAACGCATTAAATAAATAAATAAATAAATAACGCACACACTCAACATAGCCCCGCACTAGGGAAACCCTGTGTCGCGGGTGCCATGGGCACACACATAGACAACCACAAATTACATCCAAACTCACGAGAGAAATAATTGTAGGACAAACAACTATTTCTCCCGACCCGGGAATCGAACCTGGGACCTCTGCGTGGCAGTTCGGCATGGTAACCGTTAGGCCACGGAGGCAGTTAATTAAGATTCACATTAAGAAAAATAAAAGAAAATTTTCCTTTAAGTGAAATTAGCTATCTTAAGCATTTGAGGTTCATCTTCGATCTTCCTTCAAGTCCCATTGTTTTTTTTCCAACCTGTATACTGTACTGTAGTGTACTTCGGCGGGAACGGGGATTGCCTGACTCGTATAATAATGCTCAACTAACTCATACTGGTCCGGCAAACCTTTACTTCCCGGCCTCTGCAACAATATGCTAACAAACCCAATACATTGAATGCGGAATAATATTTTGTTCGCCTTTTTGATATTTTCTATAAAAATAGATTTTAGGCCACTAAGGAAAAGCTACGGGTACGCTACTACTAATTATAGTCTCGATTTTCTGACCACGAGAATCTTTTCATACCCTGTGTAGATTATACAGAGTATTTTTTTTTAAAGGGACGGTACGGGGAAATGCGAAACCATACGAGGTACAAGGAAACTGTCTTAGGAACCATTAAATCTTTTTTTATGAAAACAATTTCGGCGTAGTTAATTTTTTGGTGAATTTACGTCAAAAACGTTCATTGCTCCATTAGACACAGAAAAATATAACCCAAACCTTTTCCAATTCTTGTAATTCTATCGACTAATATTATAGGTAGAGCTACAAGAATTGGAGAGGATGTGGGTTATAGTTTTCTGTATCTGTTGGACCAATAAACATGTTAGACGTGGCTCTTCTTCCATGAGGGGTGCAATTGATCAAAATTGTTTGTAGTGCTGATCGACTCTGTTTCATGAAGGTATCATTTGATTGTATGGGATGAAAAAATCGGGACAGCCAAAGTTGGTCAAATTACATAAAAAATTGTTTTCACAAAACAAAGACAATGGTTCCTAAGACAGTTTCCTTGAACCTTCTGTGGTTTCGAATATGCTCGTACTGTCTCATTAAAAAAAACATTCTGTATAGTCGGTGTATTTTAACATTACTCTTTAATAAGTGGACTGCTATACTGCCATCCTTTTTATAACCGTCACCCTGAGACATAAGTTGACAAGTCCCATGTGCCTCTAATTTCACCAGCACCCTTACCCTTCCAAACCGGAACGCAGTAATGCTCACATTACTGCTTGGCGGCAGAAATAGGTAAGGTAGCAGAACTTCCCTGGACGAACCCTTTCACAAGGAGCTCCACTGCTGCTAAAACTGACTTCAAGATATTGTTTAGGTGCCAATATCTCGTTAGTTATGACAACGATGTCAATATAGACATTCAAAAACCATTATAGATCAGATTTTGGTCTGTCCTTTTATTTTCAGACCACTCTTGATATACTACAGCGCCTCCGTACATAAAGTTAATTTTTTAATTACTATGTTCATTTTAGTCAATTACAGGCCTTGACACTCGACCCTAATTTTGGCCTGTACTTTTAATGTTAGACTATTCAAGATATACTATAGCTTCTATGTACGTAGACCACAAAGTTTACCCATACGGATAAGTTTAGTTCTTTTTAGTCAATTACAGCCCTTGACACTCGAACTTGGTTTAGGTCTACTTTAATCTTAAACAGTAAGACAATATTAGACTGCAGTAACATTAAATTTACTACAGACCACTACAGTTCACTATAGACCACATTAATTAAAAAATGTCTCGTCAAGACCGGTCCATCACACTCACGAATTTAAGTCGGTCAAGGGACACAGGCCATCCGTAGACTAAAGACTATGCGATACAGGCTTCCGTTTCTCTTTGCTGCGCGTCTGCGCAGAGCCTGTGGTGTTGGGTGTCCCAGACCAGTCGGCCAGTTGTGGTACAGGCCGGTAGAACTTTGACGTCGATCTGTTAAACACCGGTAGTAGTTCGTTCGCTTCGTTTGAAAGAGCCTGTAATGAAAAAAAAGTTAAAAAGTATGTAGAACGTAAAATTGGATTCTCTACACGTCAACAAAACCGTCGTTAGAATATTGTAAAAATCAACTAAAAGATATCTACTAAACTACATACTTAGAAAAAAAAAAGAGACACGCTTTATGTGAGCTAGTTTTGGCCAAAATAGTCCTTATTCAAAAATATGAAACTATTTTTTCTCTTTTATTTTTTAAATATGTATAAGTTGGCAAATGGTTGGCAAGTAGAAAATAACTTATACATAAATTGACACAGATCTTTCACGGGTAGCGAGTGATTCGTTTTTCGTCGATTCTGAGAAAATACACTTTTTGAGTTAATACACTATTGTATTTATAGTGCGATATGTTATATGCCCCACTGTCGGGTACGGGTCTCCTATCTTGGTTTTTTTTACTATTTTTCGATCCTTTCGCCAATTTAGGACCATGCCCAGACATTTAATGAACCCAGACATAAAAATGAAATGTTTATTTTGCCTGTTTTTGTGCAAATTGTCGCGAATGGCAGTTGCGATGGACGTAGGGACGTTATCCTCCAGGGCGATAATAACCAATATCTAATGTATATGCTTAAAGGTCCATTTTTTTTAAATTTATTTAGACAGTCAACAATTGTTACACCAAAGATCCGAAAAAATACATGCAACAAAAAACTTAAAACTAAGTGCACAATCTATTATAGACCGACACTACATGCACAATAAATTATTGCAGAGGAAAAAGAAACTTAAAAAAAGAAGTTAGGTATATATAATATAACGCAACACAATCATAGCCCTAGGGAAAATCTGTGCCGCAGGTGCCATGGAATATACATAGACAACTACAAATTACACCCAAACTTAAGAGAGAAATAAATATAGGCTATACACATATTTCTCCCGGCCTGGGAATCGAACCCAGGACCTCTACGTGGCAGTCTGGCCTGGTAACCGTTATTTGAAGATGTTGTCATTTCTCATTGTGGTCTTAAACCGACGAAAGGTTTAGGCCATAGTCCGCCAATGCAGGTTGGTCACGCGTTTTCTGCGTGTTTTGATCCTTTTTCGCGCAGGGAAACTCAGAGATACGAGCCCGGATTCAAACCCACGGCATCTGCTTGAGAGGCAGCAGGTCAAACCATTAGGCTAACACGGCTTCATTTCTTATAGCCGTTTTTTAAAAAGCTAGATCAAAAGTACCAAGAATTTTCTAAGTAAAAGTGACTCGTAAGAATCGTCATATAGTCTGTCTTTTTTGAAAGTGGAGTAAAATGACATTTGCAGGGTTGCCAGTTTTAGTAAAATTTTAAATAGTCATGTAGTTGTCATCGACAGTCATATCGATTGATTGCGAAAGTAGGTACAATTTCGGAAAAAAGTGTGTATTGTGAATGTTGAATATGTAATTACATATTTTTGATTTCAATAATTGATTGTTTTCTACATAAATAATGATAATTAGAATCAAAATAAGTAACTTTTATTTTCCATACTTTTTTATATTAACAATGTACTTGAAAAAAATAACGGTTTTAATACACTAAAACAAATTTTAAAATTAAAAGATAACCTAGACGTGACCTTTTTTTTTAATAAGTGACGGGACGAAGAAATAGTGCGTCTGATGGTAAGCTACACGCCTGTATATAACAGTTGCAGTGTCACTCAGAGCTTTAAATCGCAAAGATCTGAGGGGCACTGCCACTGCGCCCGTCACCCGGAAATATAAGTTGATAAGTCCCATGTGCCTGTAATTTCACCAGCACCCTTACCCTTCAAAACCGGAACACAGTAATGGTGACATTACTGCTTGGCGGCAGAAATAGGTAAGCTAGCAGTACTTCACTGTGAGTGTGTAATTTTTTGCGCATATTATATGTACATATCTTGTAGTTTAGTGAGAAATAAAACATCATTTTATTTCAGTTTATACTGCACATTTATCCAAGCCCTAGTAATTACGTAATTGTATTCTTTATTCTTTTTTTGACAGTTGGCATTACTAACGAAATAAATTTTTATTCATACACACAGGCGGATTCGGTTATGCATATTAAATTAAAATTTAAAACTTTAAAATATGTCTCCTGTTTGTATTTTTAATAGACACAGTTCTAAATTTAATGTATGTATGAATTTTCAAAAATGGACAATTGAAATGAACTTGTGCTCAGTAATTGGATGAATAACGGGCCGAAGATGATTCAAATAAAACAAATTCGGCTATTTATTCCGTAAGCGTGACCAATATACAGTCGATAGAATATTTATCGACTGCAATCACTAGCTGCTTGCAAGCGGGCAACACTTTTGGGCAACGAACTGTTATTTTACTCCGTCTTCAAAAAAGACAAGACTATAGAGATTAGTGAGAGGTTTCATAGACTCTCCCATAAGATGATGAGATAAAGCCGGTGAACTCTTTTATAATGTAACAATATACTTTTTAATTGAATTTTGTGTCTATTTTAAGTAGTCTAATGTCTGTTTTTTTATTAGTTATTAGAAAGAACCATCGAGTATATAACCTGAAATAGAAACGAAATGTCATTTAATTTGTTTGAAAACTATTCTGCCATTACTGTGACAACTGCGCTCCGATTGGCCAGCCCGAACTCGAAACAGTTGACGGGTTGTCGTCAATGGGTGTAGTCTTGTGTAGGACATGAAATTAAAATGAGTTTGAGAGAGTACTTCGTTTCAAAAAATGAGGCAGTGCAATGTCCTACTTCAAATGAGGTGAGGAGTAAGAATGTTTGCACCTACGGCAATGACTCAACAGACAGGGACGAAGCACATTTTCATAACTTGATGGTATCAATCAATTGGATAACTTAAGTGTTATGATATATATAAATAAATAATAATTTTATTTAGTACTATGGTAGCATGATCATATGATGAAAAATCAGCGGACAGTGCAGGACCAATCATTGTTGCATTTGTTGAAGTCGAAGCAGTGTGACATGGATGAGGTTCTGACATGAGGCTATGACATGAGGTGAGGTGGGACATTTTAATGACATGAGATGTTGTGATAAACTAACCAAACGAGTGGCACAAATGAGTTACCTCGTGTATGAGTAACTCAACACTAAATGGGTGTCGTCGATTGTTTTACTTCAAATCGAACAGTTAACTTGAGCTTTGCTATAATGGACGAAAATTGCAAAATTACATATTTAATATTTAATTACCGATGAAAGATTCCGTTTGTTTTGTAATTAAATGTTTTGCTGTTATTCCCCACACCACCAAATGGAAGAGCACGCTATTGTATCTTCATTACAACAAATACAGAATATTTTTGGAATATACGGAGATGTACACACAGGTCAATGGTTGGCGCTGCCTATATTTCAGCGCAAACGAGATTTGATATTTATAAGTGATGTATGATGATTTACCAGAAATGTAAAGCCCTTATTTCGTATCTTCTGGTTATATATTCGATGGAGATAATTTACTATTTGTTACACCCCAACGGGGTATGTTTGTACCTATTACCAATGTAATGCCTACCTTAAAAAATACTTATTACTACTTACTCATTTTTTCGATTATACCCAAATCGAATGGGTGGATTTGGGTATAATCGATAACAAAAATGGCAACGCTAAAAGATATTGGTAGGGTTGTTCGAAAAAAAAGGAAGCGAGAAGGGTGTAAAGATATTTTCCTGAAAACATGTATATTCTTACGGGTTTTAGGGGATTACAATGTCAAAGTCTAATAATCATTTATTCATAGGTAAAATAAATTTACACCTGAAAATGTTCTTAAGTTAAAATTTTTTAAGCTACACCTCGTTCCTGTTCTGACTTCCCTGAGAAGAACGAGCAAGAAACTCTAGGGTTTTCTCTTTTCAAAATGAACTTAAATACTGTGTAATATACTTTGCATCTGTGTGGAATCTGGAGTCATATCGTCTTTCTATACATATTTATCTAACGGTTACATGTAGGTTTTAAACTTAGAAAATTATAATTTTAATATATTTTATAGTAAAAAATTATATAGTTCCCCGTAAAAGAATAGTTTACCTTAGTTAAACGAAACTGCGGTAACATGAGGTTGGAAGTTCTAAGGTTCATATAATGGACATCTTCTTTCTTAATGAAATGTGTGCTATATTATAGGTTTGTTGTTTAATTTTAAAATTATATACTTACCTTTAGATAAATGACGGCATCAGTGCCGTATCCTTCACAAGACATAAGAATCAAATCACCGTGGAAGTAGCGCGCGTAGAGTCGACTGATTGGCAGGCCGTACCCGTAGCCTGGAAGAGATATATTTTTTTTTATAAAAAATACGTAACACTGCATCCAACCGTTTATTTAACTTTTGACAGCTCGAATTCTAGTCAATTAGTGATGTCCTATTGTGTTTCCGATTCGATTTTTTATAACAATCGATTTTATTGATGAAGAAAAAAAATTTAAGTCGTGAGCGAGTTCAAAAGATAATACCGCACCTCTCATGGAAGAATGGCATAAGTGGAATTACGTCAAACATGTTTATTGCTCCATTAGATACTGAAAAACATAACCCATATCCTCTTCAATTGGAAGCGGATGTGGGTTATATTTTTCTGTATCTAATCTCCAATTAGAGAGGACGTGGATTTTGTTTTTCTATATGTAATGAAGCAATAAACATGTTTGACGTAATTATGCCACTTATGCCATACTTCCATGAGGGGTGCGATATATTGTCTGATTGGGATCGTGATGTTGCGTTTGACAATTTGTGTACTCAAGAATTAAAAATTCATGTTATTCCCGTTTATACGGAGAAGAATCTGACGATTCCTTATAATAAACAACAAAAATTTATTATAATTCTTTATAATTTATTTCATTCAAGAGCACGTCGCTTCACTAAAATAAAAGAATAAAAGAGTCCAGGAAGTATTGCAATTTTTTGTCTTAATAATTACGGAACGCCTCCTACGTAAAGTAATGTATGTCCAAATTGCCAAGTTTACAGGGCGTTTTAAAGTTTTGAATTCACTGAAATGAACATAACACGTGACTTTAGCATTTTTATATATATATATATAGTTAGATGAACAACCATAGTACACAGTATACTGCCTCCGTGGCCGAACGGTTACCATGTCGGACTGCCACCCAGAGGTCCCAAATCGATTCCCGGGTCGGGAGAAATATTTGTATGGCCTACATTTATTTCTCTCATGAGTTTGGGTGTAATTTGTGGTTGTTGTGTGTGTCCATGGCACCCGCGACACAGGGTTTCCCTAGTGCGGGGCCATGTTGAGTGTGTGCGTGTGTGCGTTATATATTTTAAAATGCTGCGTGTGTGCGTTATATATTTTAAAATGCTGAAGTCACGTGTTATGTTCATTTCAGTGAATTCAAAACTTTAAAACGCTCCCCTGTAAACTTGGCAATTTCGACATACGATACTTTACGTAGGAGGGGTCGAAATGT